GCTAGAGTCATTGACACGAAATCTTCTCGTTAAGGCACATCTACGTGAAGGAGTAAGATCTATGAATGGTATAATTTTTCTACGCAATAACAAAGACTCAGTGGGAGACCACAACGTAGTGGCTTGGCCTTGTGGAAGTCTGGCTTTTCCCTTGTAATGACGGCGTATATTTCCTATAGAGGCGATGGACGGTACTGCTCTTTGGCTCCATTTCTATGGTCATATAAGTTGTACCCGACTAGAAATTTGATCGGGCATGCCCGAAGTACTATCAGGACCTGATCTGGCAGAGCTAAGGCATGCCTCATTAATACATGCCTCGTGTTATCCTGATCGAGTCCGAATCAGGATTGTCTGATATCTACGGAAATAAAGACCTACCAGGCATGCCTAGCCACGTCTCGATAAGGATTATATGAGGATCATGTCCCTTTGGGATTACAGAAATAGTGTCAAAAACCGTAAAGTCTTATATGGATTGTAACAAAAATGTTACTGCAGACTCCCCTCCGCCTCCTGGCTCGGGGTCCCATAGGCCTCGAGTATTGCGTTTTATTTTTAAGTATTGTTAATTGCGTGTAGTTAGATGTTTTAGCCATTACGTTAAGGATAAGATCCCTTCCGTCCTCCCCTCCCTCCCTGCCTCCATTTCCCTTCCCCCGTAGGGCACTGGCTCGAGGACCATCTCCGAGGACCAACCACCAGCACCAGCAACAAGGACATCACCGTGGACCTGCCACGAGGACCCAGCATCCCTGGATGGACCGCGAGAGCGGCTACGTCGCCGAGGCAGCGGAAGGCAGGGATGGCATGGGCAGGAGGAACAGCAGACCGAGTCGCCCGTGGGATGGATGCCCCGCCATTACCATCACCACCAATACATGCAGCCCTGGTGCAGTCTCGTCACACGCTCAGGAAAAAGCCCCGTGTGACAGCGGCGGAGCCCTCTCCCTCCGAGACCGCGGACGTGCCCGGGAGAAGTTTGACAGGCCTCGAGGCCGCCATCTTGACCGGCGCGCGCAGCCAGCACGCGTGCCGGCAAAGCCAGCGCCGTGCCGCCGACATGAGGCCCTGGAAAACCCGGCAACACAGCCGATTTGAAGCCAACCAATGCCCTGCCGTGCCGGAACTGCCGACCAATGCCGAAGCGCGTAGCCCTGTCAGCTGAGCAGCCACAGTCAATGAACGAGGCCCTGGAGGCCCACGAGGGCCAGAACACCGGAAAATCTTATCACTTCGAGCCAGGCTACTAGCGAGACAAGAGTGTATTGCGAGAGTGCGAATGCGAAGATTGAGTGCGCGAACGAGTGCAATTTGAGGATTATTGTGAGCGTGCCGCCGTAACGAGGCCCTGGAAGGCCCGGCAACACAGCCGATTTGAACCAGACCAATGCCGTGCCATGCCGGAACTGTCAGCCAATGCCGAAGCACGTAGCCCTCTCAGCTGAGCAGCCCCAGCCAATCAACGAGGCCCTGGAGGCCCACGAGAGCCAGGACGACGGAAATCACGACACTTCGAGCCAGGGATTGCAAGCGAGAGTAGCGAGTGCGAATTACTTATAGAGAACTGTACAGTGAGTGAGTGCGTACGAAGTGTTACTGGATTATCAGTTTGTACGAGCGCCTGGTGTGAGTACAGTGTGCTTGAATTTTTCCTATCTACATCCCTTCCCCATCGCCCTCTTAGAATTTGCGCTGTAGATTTTGTAAGTCCCTTCAGGACGTCCACGAGCTGGCCCACGTGGCCTAGCCTTCTGATAGTTTCCTTGTATTTGCGACAGGCCTTCCGCCCACCACCTCGAGGCCCGTGGTATATTGCGGGCGCCCTAATCTTAGTATCTTGCGTCCCTCCCCGACAACCCTCAGCCCTTTCCTTTTTCGCGTTCCCACCGAGGTAATATTTAAGAAGCCATTTTGCGATCGAGAACCTTCTTCCCTGAGACCCCCCTCACCTCTCCCTCCGCTAGCCGTGCCATATCCCGTAAAGTAAACAAACGAGGACCCCTCGGGGTCACTCGTCGGTGCTACACCGTGACCGTAGCTGGCGCCCAGATATTGTTCCCCTCCGTTCCCCGACCCCCTTCCCACCAAGCCCATTTAAAGCCCTCCGACACCGCGTGCTCCCGAGTGAGTGCACGCGTGACTATATGTTCTTTTCTTTTCTTTTCTGTTCTTTTCTTTGTATTTCATTGGCATTGTTAATTATATTCTTTCTATTCTACCCCGTGTCCCCTTTCTTCGATTCCCTCCCCCCTCTCCCGTGTTATTGAGATAGCTGCATTTGCGAGACCCTGGACCACTCTACGAGGTCCAGTGCGTCACAGGATCTTATAATGAACGTATACGGTTTCCCGACCAGATGCTTCTGTAATCACACCCCACATTACATGAGATATTCTTTGTATATTCGTTTTAGGTCCATAATACAAAAAATATATCTTGTATATTCTATGGATATGTTTTCTGCATACATCTATATTGAGACGATTTGTGATTTTGGAGACTTGGGAATCACGAGACTTTTTACAGGGTTTGTGCACTGGGCAGGCGTCTTTAGAAGTAATTAGACACGTGAATTTTAAAATAAAACGATGATGATATATTGTCCTGTAGATTACAGACTAGGTATCCTTAATATTCTATTTTGCTCTCTAAGACACATACACATACTTACAATTGTCTCTCGTTACATTGCCGTACCGTAGGCGACAAGAAGTGTTTTTGTTTACGTATTCTCTCTGCTAACCTTTTGGAATGGAGAGAGGTAGCTGGAACCACAATACAGAAGAGTGCACAATGCATCTGAAGACTGTGATCCAATGGGAAATAAATATCGCAAAGATCAGAACCCACGGATGATCACAATGACCTCCATTCGCTGTATCTTCACTTTGGAAGGGTTTTTGGTGATGTGGACTCTGGATAGTTGCTGACAGCGTCATGCATGACGTCGCTGCAGGAACTCTTTAAGGAGTGCAGGTTTCTTAACAATTGACACGACACAAGCGAGTTCTCCTATCGAGGAAGCCGCTGCTTATATCCTCGATAGGCATACCTTAAATATAGTGGGGATAACGATTTATATCCTCCCGAGGCGTTAACGTCGCTTTTTGGATTCAATATTTTGATTTATTATATAATTCGATTTGATTTGACTAATTGGATTAGCGCTTTCTTCAAGTATCGGCTTACTCGTATTTCTATTGTGTTTGACGTGTGCCGGCTTATAGCGTCTAGGCACTTGTTTGTTTTTATTTCAGTCGGTCGACTGTATTTCGGATTCTAAGAATATTAAAAGTAATAATTTCTAATATTATTTCCTCATGACTGTCGCTGTGACTAGTTTCAAGGGAATTACGCAATATTAGAGATTTAAAAGTCCTATATTCCCTTTCCTTTATCAGCGTCGCTGTGAGAGGTTTGATAGGATTCTTGAGGAATTCTAAGATTTGAGGAGTTCTCTCAGGTGCTGTTATGCACGTCCACAGTGCGCTATGCACTCTTATGTGGGGCTCTTCGAGTATCCATCATCGAGAATGGATGATTGGGAAGGAAAAAGGATGGAGGATAGGGGGGTATAGGGACGGAACGTCACAATTATGTTATGTATACATGCATAAATATTCAGAACACATTGTATGTACATACGTCAGGGTTAAGAACACTGATTTTTAAAAACAATAATCTTAAAAGGGTTTCAATCACGTAGAAAAAAAAAATACCTGAATGAACTTGTTAGAACACTTTTTTTTTATCTGTGAAATAAATTTTCTAATGCAACGTTTCCAAACCATCCACTGACAGAAGGAGCCGCACAGTAAGGCCCACTGCCAAGCGGCGTAATACAGCTATCGGCCACCAGAGGGACAGGCATACCCGCAAGCAACAGTGGGTGAATGAGCCGATATGCTCCAAACTTTGTTATAGAATTATGAAAGTCCAATCTCCCGCAATGCCTTGATATCAAACTCTTGGAATCAACAAACGTTTTATAATTTGCAGGAATCATCCTACCCCTTTAAGGCAAGGCCTAATACGTTACACTAAATTATTCGAATATCTACGATATTTTCAAAAGAATGCTACCTGTATATCATTTCAACGTTCATAAGATATGCGGGTAAATATGATGTACATACGTATGAAATGTATATGGAATTGCTATATGGGAACTATACTTGATGTGGACCGGATTTCAGACCCACTCAGGATCTGATTATGTTCCTGAAGTTGACATTAGGTTAGTTAGGCGTGATAAGGTTCCTGTGATGTACCTGCGTTACACGTATTATCAGGGCCTGATCAGGAACCCTTATCAGGATCTGGTCACCTAATCAGGTATGCCAGATCCAGTCCTCATCGGAACCTTGCTTAATTTTCTAGTCGGGTAGAAACAAAAAAATAAAGTCACTTACGTGCGTTAATGTTTTATGAAATTTTTCTTCGTGTCAATCCCCTTTCATTTGCAAGACTCAAATTGCGGGGCTCATGGCTTCTGTTGGAGTGGCATCCCTTTGTTTTTCAAGCAAAATTAGTGAACCGTATCCTCCTTATCAATGGCGGTGCAGCCGTTATGGGATACTGTTGCAATCGCAGCCCTTTTCAATACATACACATATGTCGGATATAGTAATAGAGTAGGACCCAGCAGGTGCAGTAGTGGGGGTGTCGAAGTCCAGAAGGGTCTAGAAGGACCAAGGAGTGGGGAGGAGAGAAGAGTGGGGACGTCGTGGAGACAGTAGAAGAAAAAAAGGCGAGCGAGTAGTGAGTGCGCGCGGAGAAAGAGAAAAACGAAAAGGAGATACGTTATAGTATTCTTTGACGCTCAATGTTATTTTTTCCTTTAATAAAGAAACGTTAGATTTTACAAGATAATAACTGCTTATATTATTCAATCCCTACAATTGGGGGCTCGTCCGGGATTGCAACGAATAGCAGTGTACTTGTGAATTGTGTGTCAAGTCGGAAAGAAGTGTAGTCTAAGTAGTGAAGTTGTTATAATGTCGGTACAACGAGTGACAGGCAGACGGCCAAAAGACGAAATTACAAGTTGTGCAGTGAAGGCTACGAAGACAGCAAAGATGACTGACGGCATAGAAGAGGCAATAACAGAAGTGGATACATTTGAAGTCGAAGAACTAAGAGAAAGATTGGAACGATTAGGACGTTCTATCAAGGGTACCAAGCCAGTCTTAGCTGACAGACTGCGTAAGGCACTTATGAAAGATGCACAAAACAAGCAAGATGGCGGGGATAGTCAACAAAGAAGTGGATAAGGAAAACAAAAGAAGTCTAAAAATGCAGCAAACGACGATGAAGATGATGAAGAAGGCGATGACGTCCCTGGTAAAGGTGAAGCAAGTAGTGAAGAAGAAGAAGAAGAGGAACTCGATGTGAAAACTCTACGTACCGCTGCACTAAAAGAAGAACTACGCAAGCGAAGTAGCAAAGTGACAGGTAAAAAATCAGAATTAAGGGCTCGGTTACAAAGAGCACTAGATCAAGAAGCAACAAGCACAGAAGAAACTACGACCGACGATAGCGAAGATGAAGAAGTAGAAATAACCTTGCAGAGAGGAAAAAAGAACGCTGATAAGAAGATAAAATCATTGATGTCACTCAAGGAAGCTCAGAAGTCACTACCAGTGTTTACTGGAGATAAAGGTGAAAACATTCAACGATGGCTATTAACGTTTGAAACAATAGCAAAAGTATGCCAATGGTCGGATACACACAAATTCGTATACTGTAAGCAGGTATTAGAAGGTTCAGCTAAATTATTTGTTGATTATGATAGCAAGGCAGAAAAGTGGACTAAGTTGAAGAAAGAATTGATCGAAGAATTCAC